TTAAGCTTGAAACATCAAATTGATGACATTCAAATCATGTGTTTAAGCTTGAAACATCAAATTGTTGCAGTCCAACGCCAAATATACAGGCCTGCAACTCCCTCCTGCTACAGGTAGCGAAATTGTTGTTGTGCTGTCTTGAGTTTTATACCTGACCCTGTTTTTAATTGAATTTATTTAGAATCAAGCTCTACCTTTTAATAAATCTGAGTTTGCTGTGGCGTGGATAACAAGAGAAGTCCTAACGATTTTTGCTTATGTGGAAGCTCTTCTGGATCCTAATATCCGCTGGAGAACAGGAACATTTAGAATGAAATGGGGTGGAAAAGCAGTGGAAGTGACCTCGGAAGAAGATGTCAAAGGCTGTCGTTGTTACCTTGTCTAGCAGTGTATTTCTAACTTTGCTATATGAACTGCCATTTTTGTATACATTTATTTTAATGTTTAAAAAACCTTTTTTTATGAATTATTTAGTTTATATAGAAGCTCATTATAGGCTGTCACACTAGTTAACGTTTTGCACATACGCAGTGACTGGTTGACAAGAACCGATCGCTTGCACCCAATGATTATATAGTAGTGTTGTTCACTCTGTTGTTATTATTAAATATACATATTCCTGTCCCAAACATGCGAGCAACATTTTTTATCAGACTCTTGCATGTTGGTTGGCAAAAAAGTATGACGTCATAGTGCCTACAGCCTATAGTGTTACATTAATATAGTAAAAAAACAGTAAATTGTTGACTTTTTATAAATTATATACAGTATACAATGCAGTGTGATGGTTGGAAACATAATTATGTTGTTTAACTTGTGTATCAGATATATAATCAGTCTTGCAATTATGTTATGTATATAATGTACTATTGCTGTGTTTTATAGTTGATTAATTAGGTAACTGCTGTATCGAGGACCAGTAAAGCTTCTCATATTACTGATTGTCTCGTATTACTGTTTTATGTTTATTAATTATCATCAATATCAACTTTATATTTCCGATTGAAAACTGTATGGCGTTTAAACAATCCTCTTGTTATACTATTATGCTCTTTCAGATGTGTTCATTTCATGTCAATAATTCTGATAATTATCACACCCCATGAGTATCTTAACAGGAATTTTCAACTACTTTTGGGCATAGGTCCGAGGATCAAAACGCCAAGGACTATTATTAAGATTATTGGATTAAGGATCCAAGAGTAATTCCTGTTAATGTGTGAGTAGGGGTATGATAACAAAGTTTAATATTCTTTGAATTTGATGATTGAATTTGTGTTTTTTCTGCAGCACCATCATGAGTTGTGTGGTATTTCACAGTGTGTTTATATGTTAGGTAACTCTTTTTGGATAGAAGAAGGAGGAAATTGTAGTATCGTAGCTGATACAACTATGTATGTACTTCACTCATTCAGTCAAGTGACCATGCATTCACATAGCTTATATCTAAAAATCATTGATTCAAACCCAGGGTATTGCTGCTGAAAAAATGTCCTATTTTTTTTTATTAATGAAGGCAAAGTTGTATACTTCACTTGGATCATGCGAGAACAAACTTGTTCAGAAACATAAACATAGACATAAACTTTTCATAGTAAACGGGCATTGTTTAGAACAAAGAAATTGGTAAGCGCGGACTATTTAGAACAAAGAAACTGGTAAGAGCAGACTATTCAGAACAAAGAAACTGGTAAACGCCGACTATTTAGAACAAAGAAACTGGTTAACGCAGACTGTTTAAAACAATTAAAACAAACCAGTTTTAGTGAATAGTTTTGTAATCTTTAGTGAAATGCTATTTTAATGACCTTTTGAAAATAATAAACCCAATTGCTTTGATATTTTATATAATTTTTATAGCTTATGTAGAAGTTTATGTGCATGACAGTGGAACTAGATTGTATTTTATCATTTATATACATTGTTTAATAGAGTGATGGTTGGAAACATCATTCTGTTGATTTATTACCTGACTGTGTATTAGGTACATGTATATTATCAGTCTGGAAATTATGTTATGTATCTAGTGATGTATTTGGCCATGACCTTTGCAGTTCTGATAGCAGCTAATCAAGAAGTCACTGCACTTGCAGTGCTGTAATTGACTAACCAAGGTTTCTTAACCTTTGCAGTTCTAAGAGCAGCTTACCAGAGGTCCTTGCTTTTCTGCAAGCTAACCAAGGGGCTGCTTTCTTTGCTGAACTTTGAATCAGCTAATCAAATAAAAGTGTCCCACTTGTGCAGTATTACAAACTACCCAAGGGGCATAGACTGTCATAGCCAATCACAACTCACAGATTTAACATTTTGTGAATTAAAAAAAAAATGATAGTATAAGATTCACTGAATTTCATTTGCTAGAATTTTAAAAGACATTGTAGTATATATTTTGTTGGTAATGGTTTCATAATTGCTCGTAAGCTTTAAGAAAAACTAATCTGGTCATTGTATCCTGTACTAAAATGAACCAATGAAGACCTTGACGCAGTTTCCTCATCACAAGTAATAATTTTTACAGCTGTATTTTGTGAACACTGTCGTACTATGAAAGTCTAGTGTTACAATGTATGTGATGATGGTGATTGTATATGATTGGAATCAAATTGGTTCAGTATATGAAAATTGTCAAAGGGAATTCCAGTAATTAAACGACATGTAATTAATTTAACATGTATGTATTGGAACCAATGGCAATATGAGCAGTTATATATGGTGCTTGACAAGATTGGTAGTCTTTTTAAGCATCTTCCTCCATTGAGGTGATAGTGTTATAGTAGTTGAACATAATACCTATATGAATATAAGCGTTAGTTATTGCGCGTGGTTGAGTTTTTTGTATGAGAGAATTCGAAATAACTCATTTGAAGTGACAGTTAGTTGGTGGTTGTATGAACAAGATATTAACTCGCACGTACAAGTGAAATTGAGATGGTTAGGCATTTTGTATGAATGAAATTCTAACTCACTAGAGTTATTTGAAATTTAAACGCGTGTACAAGTGAAATTGAGGTGGTTAGGCATCTTGCATGAACAAGATATTAGATCACTTGAAGTGAGTTATTTCATAGTTGAACATGATGTATGGAACCTCAAGTGAAATGGTATTCATTTCAATTGGTAGTTGATCATCTTGTTTGTGTAAAAGATTTGGGTGACAGGTACTCGGTGGTTGGGTGTGTTACACGAGAAACAAATGCCCAAGTTTAGTTTAGTTGGTAGATTTGCACTTTTTTTAAAAATATTAGAATAAATATTAATTTATTCATTCTTCACTGTACTCTGTTTTTGTTATTTACACTACAGTGTTTACCGCCCCTGGGCCTTTCAAGGACTTCACCTTGTGGTGTTAAAAGTAGAATGGCAGAAAAAATGGATCATAATCAGTATTACAATATTAAACAGTTGCAACATCACTGTCAGTATTGCCATCTTTACCAATATCTACATTATTGGAACAATTGGATACAATGTCTTGGTCAGTGTTGCCATCTTTCAGTATTGCACAGGGGTGGATGGGTGTCCAGTCTGCAGGAATGACCTTTTTGATTAAAATGATTATTTTTTGATTGACAAAGATGAGTGAATGGCCAAAATTGATCACATGGCCAGCTTGAAATTGGTTACGAGTGCCTATAATTGCCAATAATGCAAGTCCACGAATAACAGCACCAATAATCGAGAGAAGTGTCACTGACCAGGAAAACAAAGTAATCTGATGCTGTTGAGATAGAGGGCCGACTTTATTGCAAAAGAAGATTATATCCATAAATATACTCATAATGATCACAATTTGATCAAATGACTGTTTAATAAATACTTCCATTAGAAGAAAAACATTCAAATTCACTTGCTTACTTTATCTTGTATGGCTAGTGAGATTCCTGTAACAACCAGGTTGGTGCTTTATATATTGCAATAGTTGTTTGAAGGATACAATAATACGTTGTCTTACCTTGAAGTGCATTTAGAAACACGCATACACAAATAATTAAAGCGGGATGGTCGTCACCTGCGCTTGCTTGGGAATTGAGTCCCAAGTGACTATAACAGCACATGCTAAAAAAATGCAAAGGCTCATGGGTAGACACTTGTTGGTAAACAATGACATGCTATGGCCATCTGATGCATCCGCAGATGACGACTCCCCCGCTTTAAAGTATCATATACTAGATCAATAAAATTTTGACCATAAACACCCTTTTGATGCTTATGTGCATATACTACATCTTAGAATAAATACGGTAATCACAAACAGTACGCCATACTATGCATAATTAACATTGTGGCTCAATTTCTATTTGTCTCTGGGTTGACTTTCTGATATGTTATTTTCACTTTCATACTACAAGCGTGTTATACGTTACGCCACAGAAAGATTACGTGAATACTGTCATCACCCCATAATTAAATACATTATTCAGACGTAAAATTGATCACATGACAATTACTAGATCAGCAGTAGTAAACAACAAAATGTATCGGCCCTTTTATGTTTATCAGTACAATTGACTGAAGAAATGTAATATTTAATTCTATTCTATTCTACTCTATTCTATTGTTCTATTCTACTCTGTTCTATTCTACTCTGTTCTATCCTATAGATGTGATGTGATGGGATGTAATGTAAGTATATATTAATACATGTATGTAAGTAACTGACAAGGTTTTGAGAAACAATAATTCTTACTAAAAACTCATCTTTGGAAAGTTTGCATGTAAAATGAGATTTAGGTAAAAGCTCGTGATCAGATTAAATAGTCAACCATTATACCTGTCAATGAAGTTATATTAAAGTAAAGTTATACATTCCCACAATGCAACATCCTAACAAACTAGATGAAAATATTGATTCACTTTCATCTGGCATTAATAGATGTGTACTAAACTTTTATCAAGTCTAAAATTATTTTATGTCAGAGTCGAGTTTTATATATATATCGATAGTACATGTACAAACTTGTTTGCCTGCACATGCATGCTCAGATGATCCACGTAAGCTTTATATGTGTGATATGAGCAAGGAATCTAGAAATTCAAGATCATTGTATAACCAGGTTTTACTCATAAACCGAGATATCACTGATATTAAGTGACATAATTAAAAAATTATACAGATTTACAGTTCATCTTTTAGTTGTGGTAAATCATATTTCTTAGTTGGAACTTCTTTACCGGCCACTGTTATTCGATGTAGAACTCGTAAGCCCACTTCACTCCGGGATGTTTGGCTAGATGGTGCAGCTTCATGCCCAACAGCAAGATTGTCTGATATAATAAAATCTCCAACATTCCACTGTAATATACAATATTTTAATATTGAGGTGATATTCCAGTTCAGAATCAGATATTTAGTATGTACAGATTATTATTCTCATACAAGCAACTACACAAATAGAACTATTACAAAACAGTGATTTCTGTTTCAGAACGTATTGTTTAACAAACTAAAAATTGGTTTATCTTTGTATCTATACATGTTCCAGAGATGTCTGATGGCAAAATGTGGCAAATTGACAATGAAAGATTGCTAAATACTAGAATGTGATCAAAGCTCATCTATTGGTCTGGCATTGTTCTGACCTGGGATTAGTCTGACTTGGAATTGGTCTGACCTGGCATTGGTGTGACCTGGCATTGGTGTGACCTGGCATTGGTCTGACTGGAATTGGTCTGACCTGGCATTAATGGTCTGACCTGGTATTAATGGTCTGACCTGGCATTGGTCTGACCTGGAATTGGTCTGACCTGGAATTGGTCTGACCTGGCATTGGTCTGACCTGGTATTGGTCTGACCTGGCATTGGTCTGACCTGGCATTGGTGTGACCTGGCATTGGTCTGACCTGGTATTGGTCTGACCTGGCATTGGTCTGACCTGGCATTGGTCTGACCTGGTATTGGTCTGACCTGGCATTGGTGTGACCTGGCATTGGTGTGACCTGGCATTGGTCTGACCTGGCATTGGTCTGACCTGGCATTGGTCTGACCTGGCATTGGTCAGACCTGACCAACAATCAACAAATTACCTTATGTGAATACTGGATAGCTTTATTGTCTTTTATAAATTCATGATTGATTTCTTTAAGAAGTTGATTTGTTTCTCGCCACTCAGTCATTCTTTCCTGCTTTGTTCCTTTATCCCAAATGAAAGCATCAGTCATGCCCATATGTACAATTAATACCTAAAAATAATAACAGAAAACATTCGTACATTTATGAAATTCACTGTAAGTAGCATGAGTGGAAGTTAAACATTTTTAAAAATCTGATAATTATTAAGCTATTTATTTCGAACTTGGCATATCATTAAGTTATGTACCAACAAATCCATTCATGCATCCCTGGATCCGATTCTGAAATGGTAAAAATGCTTGATTTTTTGTGAATTTTCAGCACCAGTCATCAATCTTGAATCGGTTGTAAAGTGAATGTTGCATACATTTATACACATGTCTAACTTTCTAATGTGGGCTGAAATGAATTATTTTCCGATTTTGCTCAAACAGGAAGTAAAAATTACCTTTTTACCACTCTCTGGATGTGAATATATCAACGGATGTACCACGCCAGCACGTCTATCACTGACCATCCACAACCTCTCCCATCGGTTTCTCTGCTCTTCTGATAATCCTGTTACAATGTCATTTAAAGGAGCAAAAACTGCACACAAAAAAACAAAAACAAAAAACAATGAACCACAGTGATATTATTGAAACCTTGCCATCATTATTACCGTACAGCATAAAATTAACATGAGAATTAATATATACTCAAATAGGAAGCAAAGCACAGAAAAAAGAATACACAGAATACCGGTATACAGGATATACAGAATACACAACATGAAAAGTACTATACACTAAAACCGTGTTATAACGAACTCTTGGGGAACATACAATTCTCGCGTTTCACAATACACTGCGCCACCTACCGGGCTGTAGAGAGAGGCATATGATACGCAAAGCATCATGGGAAATTGTCGACATCTTTATTCTGAAGTTTTACCGCGCGTATTTGATTTCGTCAATTTGTTTTTCATATAATAATTCAGTTTATTGCCATGGTCTTCCTTTGCGAATCCTCGGAATGCTATTCACATACATCGAAGCTTCGAAACCTTGACAAATATCCTTGGATGAAGGGTATTAGGTGGGTAAAATGGCCGCAAGAAAAAACCGCAATTGCAAGGTGGAAACATTTGATTAGACGTGGCGGAAAAAGTAAAGATGAAAACATAGTGGACATTCTGAATATTTCTAGACGGTCGAGACTTTGTTCCCGACATTTTGATGAAGATGAGATCGATATGTGGGGAAATGCGTCCGGTGACCCCAAATACTTTGCATGGAACAACTGGGGGAAA